AATACGTCTTACTACTTTACTTCCCTACCTAGACGGTCGGTATAAGAACGTTTAGTTCCCTTCTGTTGTTTCTGTCTGTGTGGGTGGTTGGAGGGTGCTGCTAATACGTCCTACTTCTTTACTTTCCATCTGTAGTTTCTGTCTGTGTGGGTGGTTGGAGGGTGCTACTGGCACGTCCTACTTCCTTACTTCCCTTCTGTAGTTTCTGTCTGTGTGGAGTGGGAGGCTGGCGGGTACTGTGGTGTGGTTTGCTCCTTCTTTCCTATCAAACATCTATCTGTCGTCTTTATATATCTCCCCTTCCTTCTTTTTTGTGTTTGTTTCTTTCTTGTAACACCTCTAATCTTTGGCACTGCTATGACCTTATTGTGTTGCAAGTGCCGTAAAACTCTTACGAAAAAAAATGTCTATGTGGGTGGTTGGGGGGTGCCACTGGCATGTCCTACTTCTTTACTTCCCTTCCGTAGTTTCTGTGTGGGTGGTTGGAGGGTGCTACTAATACGACCTACTTCTTTACTTTCCCTCTGTTTGTATGGCTTACACTCCCCCCCCCCCCCTCTACCCCCCAGGGCGGTGCCATTGACTGAAGTGTCTTTAGGCCATTCCCAAAGGGGGGACATTTCTCGGTCTAATGCACAGTAGAATTGTAAATGTGCTGATCTAACAATGTCATGCTTATAATTGTGCCTGAACTACAACAGGGAACTGCTGCTTTTTCTTTCTAATCCTTATTATCGTCATTCATCATTTTTCCCTCCACATCTTTTGTATGTTTGTCACACTCTTGTGACCTGCTATTTCCAGGGTGCCTTGATAGTCGAAGCAGACCTTGTGCTGCTGAAGCTAGACAGGTGAGCAGAGTAAGTTTGATTCCCTGTAAGGACTTCTCTGTTGATATCCACCCCTTTGAGCTCATATGACCTTATGCAGTTGCGAGCGCCGTAAAACCTCTACTAAAACTAAAACTAACACCCCCCCCCCCTTTTCCCCTCTGTGGGTGGTTTGAGGGCGTCACTCGTACGTCCCATTTCTTTACTTTTCCACTGTTTGTATGTTTTACTTTTTCATTTTCCCTTTGATTTTATATCTTTTACTGTTTTTTTCCCTGGATTGCTAGTGGTTGGAGGGCGCCACTGGAGGGTCCTTCTTCTTTGCTCTTTCTCTCTCTGTTTGTATACCTCTGAGTTCCCCCCTTTTTACAGCGGGTGGTTGGAGGGTGCCACAGGCACGTCCTACATCTGCACTTTCCATCTGTTTGTATGTCTTACTTTTCCCCATTGATTTTTTAAATGTCTTTTACTCCCCCCCCCTTGTGCTAAATGGCCAGCCATTATTGTGTTCAAGTATTTCTCTTTGCCTTGCGGGTGGTTTTGAGGGTGCCTCTGACACGTCCAGCTTCTTTACTTTCCCTCCGTCTGTCTGTCATCCCCCCCCCCCTCTATTTGCTCTGCGGGTGGTTGGAGGGTGCCACTGGCATGTCCTACTTCTATACTATCCCTCTGATTTTGCATGTCTTGCTTTATCCCATTGATTTTATGCTTAACCTTTTCCCTGGATTGCTAGTTGTTGGAGGGTGCCACCGGTACGTCCTACTTCTTTGCTCTCTCTCTCTTTCTCTCTC